GGAGGCTAAGTAGCTCATCGAACTACAAATCCAAGAGCTCTCATGATATGGAGACATGGCAGTTAAAGCTGTGTCAAATTGCATCAGTTCTGCAGTATGGATGCAGCCTGAGTTTGCACTGCAGAAATAATGCAGTTTGATACTGCTTTAACTGCCATGGCTCCATCCTATGGACTCCCCATCTCTGGCTTTAAGCTTATGCAGACAGCAAGCCCCAGATATTACAATTATGTGCACCATTAAAACAAAGTGGACTTGAGGTCCCGTGTTGTTTGCCATGGGTGAGGGATCCAAAACAGATCACCCACATACACCAAGGGCCCACTGTATTCTAAATTTTTCCACTTAGGTTTGTGATAACTACTGATAGTTATATTGATCAAATTCTTCCATTCTGGGAGAAAGGTGTGGTATAAATTGAATGGCTAAATATATATATTCTCAGAAAACTGTTCTGGTAGCTGTTTATGTTTGGCTAGTTGTGAAAGAGCTTCCATTCAGCTATTAAGCAAAAATTTCTTTTAAAAATATTTTGAAAAATAAATGCACAGGTGTAATATTCTACTCTTGAAATTCTATTGACTCTTCAGGCAAAGGAGAGTGAATTTGCCACCATCCCTGCCTTCTGTGCCAAAAAGCAACTGCACAGCAAAACATTCAGTTGCACCTCTTCAGCCTCAGGGCCTGTCACTTCTCCATCTGGTGTATGGAATTGAATAATCCATCCTGCTACCCAAAAGGAAAGGGGCATATAAATGTAGTCATAAGAGTTGATTAATTTGCCTTGAGGGGAGAAATTTCCTTTTCTCTCAAATGGTGTAATCAGTTATCTCCCCGTGTGTAGCCGAGCAAAGATTAAAGTGATGAAGCTTTTTACATACACCATGACTATGCACCACTCCCTTTTCTCTGTGCCCAAAGTACCAATAATGTATTACTGACAGGATCCTATCTTGACACAAGTGTCAGGTGAAGCAATATCTAGCTGCTTTCAAGCAGGGGGAGTTGATGTAACCTGCCATACTCGTCTATAAATCTAAAAAATTATGCCCCAAAATTGATCCCAAAATCCCAGGTCGACTTATTTACAGATCAGTATGGTAATGTGATACCTCTTTCAGATTTCCCCATGCAGTTTCTTTCTCTCTTGAGCAAAGCAGAAAGAATCCTGGGTGATTGATTGATATTGCTGTTTGTTTAAAAGTCCCCCTCCTGCCCGCAAAACGAAAGTTGAAATGCTGAAGCAAAAAGCCTCAATGAGAATCCCTCATACACCCACGTATGCACACACTGAAGGAGCCTCCAGGTTTTACTCTTGACTTATCCACAAGTCATGGCAAAATCCATAATTTTGGCTCCCAAACCCGCCCTCAACTTATACATGAGGGCGACTTATAGTCGAGTATATAAGGTACTCAAACCTTTTATCTGTCATTCTTCTTTGGACCCCACAGGTTATTATCATATGCAGTTCCAAGTGAGTTTATCTTCACATCCACTGATTGCAAATTAGTCCAACATGGTTCCTATCCTGTGGTCTACCAGCCTGTGAAAGCCTGCATTTGCAACTATTATTCAAAGACAAGGATATGCAGTTGTCTCAGTGTGTTCCTATACTATGGCATTCAGCTTTGCGGAGAACATGTGCATATGAGGGGATATCATTAATAATAATAATAATAATAATAATAATAATAATAATAATAATAATTTATATCCCGCCCTTTGGGTAGCTTACAGCAGTAAAACCATACAATATATCCCAAAACATAATCCCTCCCCCCCTTAAAACAGTATTAAATCAATGAAAATTAAAACGACAAATTCGAACAATTAAAAAATTAAAAATAAAGTAATAATTATCACCCAGATGTTATTATGGTATATTGATGAAATTTTGTCAGTGTCATCACTACAAGTGACTTTTTCTTTTCCCAAAAATGAAAAATTCCTTGTGGGGTCACCGATTTGACAACACAGATGATGTCATTCATGAAGTGGAAGAATGGTTTAAGGTGCAATCTGCAGACGTCCACAATAATGGTATTCAGAGGCTCAAGAAACGCTGAGGAAAATCAAAACAAGCTTTCCGACAAATTTTTTAAAGGTGATAATTAAAATTTTACGATATACTCTCCTATGCAGGCTTTGGTATGTGAATTACTAAGGCCCGTAGGCCACATAAATTTAATGAACTGACGTGTTCAGTGTTCAGATGTCATTCACTGAATGATTTACCACAGGTGTGCATATGCTTAAACTGATTTTATTCTAAGACCTCCCGCTCCAGAGATCTTATGATATAGGATATGATATAAATATTTAAATAAATACATGTCATCATCACTAGCATCTTTCCTTGTCCGCAAGTTATTGCTTCAGATCCTGAAGTGGTGAATTTTATTCTTCATTCAATTAATACAGAATCATAGAGCTGGAAGAGACCCTCATGGGCCATCCACTCCAACCCCATTCTGCCATGCAGGAAGACACAATCAAAGCATCCCTGACAGATGGCAATCCAGCCTCTGTTTAAAAAACCTCCCAAGAAGGAGACTCCATCACACTCCGAGGGAGTGTGTTCCACTGTTGAACAGCTCTTACTGTCAGGAAGTTCCTCCTAATGTTGAGCTGGAATCACTTTTCCTGTAGTTTGAATCCACTGGTCCAAGTCCTATTCTCTGGAGCTGCAGAAAACAAACTTGCTCCATCTTTGGTATGACATCTCTTCAAATATTTAAATATGGCTATCATCTTACCTTTAACCTTCTCTTCCCCAGGCTAAACATACCCAGCTCCCTAAGCTGCTGTCCATATGGCATAGTTTCCAGACCTTTCACCATTTTGGTTGCTTTCCTCTGGACATGCTACAGCTTCACAATTTAAGGACCATTTTCATATATGCTAGCAACACACCTTTTTGGCAGGTAGAAGATTTGGCTTGGTGATGGAAAAGTTTAATTTGAAGTGATTGTAGACCTCTGGGAAATATATAGTGGTAAGAAGGATGGATATGGAGAATTCAAATCTTGTACCAGATATTCTTTATGCATGAGATAATGGAATACCTTCAATTCAGATTATAATTTGGGGTGGAAGTAATCCTGTTTGTGAAGTGAGGTGTAATGAAATGTAGGAGTTCATTTATTTCATTTTTTAAAGAATTGTAATACAGAATATCACTCCTGATGAAAGTATATAACCGGCCTTGAAGCAAAATGCTGTAATGGGAATTGTTCTTGTTCGATATGTCAACCATACTTTCTTCAAGGATACTGTACTTAGGGATCTGGGTTTGTTTCACTCAGACAAGAATAAAAGGTACATGATAGTTATCTTTAAATATCTGAAAGAATGTCATATGTAGGAGCGATGGAGCAAGCTAATTTTCAAGATTTTCAGAGTCTAGAACACAATCCAATGAATTCAAATTACAAGAAAAGAATTTCCGTCTAAGCATTTGGAAGAATTTCTTTCCTGTGAGAGCTGTTTGTCAGTGGAAAACCTGCTTTGGAGAGTGGTGCATTCTCCATTTTGGAGATCTTTAAAATTTTTAATGGGCATCTTTCAAGAGTACTTTAGTTGTTTGTTCTTAGTTGGCAGGAGATTGGCGTAGATGGGCCTTGTGGTCCTTTTCACCTCTATTGCATCCCTAAGTTTCTTATATTGCAGCCAATATTTTCATCATTCTAGGGAAACTGAGCATGCTTATAATCAGTGGCCTAATTTGGCAGAATGGCTTCCTCATTTAGGGCGATTCTCCTCCCCTTCAATATTTGCAGGATTTTTGTTTTGTTGATATTTCTACAAACCTTGCATTACTCCAGATATGCTGCTGTCTTTCCTCTTTTTTTTATGACTATATTTTATATGCTCTTTTAGCTAAATTAAAAGGTTTACTTCTTACTTAGATTCTTACTGTTATTTGAGATAACAGCTGGATTTTACTCAATTAAATGAGTAGATTAATATGTGTTTTTGTCTAGCATTTTCATTCTCATACTGGAACAATTAAAGCATTAGCAATTATAGCATAGCAATTTTGTATTATATTATTGAAAACTATGGAGCTTTTTAAATTATTTTGAGTGTTTTGCTTAAAGAGTGTTTTCTTCATGATCTCCTGGCATAGGTATTTGAATAGATACAAATTACTGTGTATACTCATGTATAAGTCTAGAATTTTTAGTCAAAAAATCAGTCCAAAATGCCTGTGTCAAATAAATACTGTACTGTAGTTGTTGTTGTTGTTGTTGTTGTTGTTGTTGTTGTTGTGTGCCTTCAAGTTGTTTGACTTTGGGCAACTTTATCACAGGGTTTTCTTGGCAAGACTCTTCAGATGGGGTTTGCCATTACCATTCTCTGAGTCTGAGAGAGTGTGACTTGCCCAGGGTCACCCAGTGGGTTGCATGACAGAGCAGGAATTTGAACCCTGCTCTCTAGAATCAAAGTCAAATGGTCAAACCACTACACCATGCTTGCTTTCAAAATATTGTACCTTAACTCTTATATAAACATCATTATATAAAAAAGGAGGCACCTCCTTCTCTAAATGGAGTGGTGAAAGACAAGAGCTCAGGCCATCCTGGGAGAGCTTAAAAGGACACCGATCCCCTGTACTCTCTCTGCCGCTGTGCCACTTCTAGCCTTTTGAATGCTTGGGCAGAAAACGACAGTGATGGTGCTTCCTCTCAAAGGAGTGCTAAGGAAGTAGAGGTGATCAGTGCTTCTTTTATGTTGTCCCAGGATGGTTTAAGCACTTACCTTTCATCTCTCTATTCAGAGAAGGGAATGGTTCTTTTTCTGAGAAGAATTAATACTGTACCTTTATTCCTACCTTTACATGCTTTTTGACATGCACATTTGACATGCACATTATTTAGCACTGCCCATACCTGGTTGCCTCCCACACACATCCCACAGTCACCATTTAGCATATTTCCCTCCTCATCCATCCAGCCTTTAGGGTGAACAGAAACATTTATGTCTTTCAGAATGTTGTAAGTTCTTTGGCATCATTTTCCTTTTCTTTGTCCTTTACATCCTTTCTTACATGCCCCTTTTACCTGTGTCTTATCCATGGTTCATAATAGAATCCATAATTGGCCCCAAAACCTGCCCTCAGACTTGTACATGAAGTTGACTTACCATATATACTTGACTATAAGTTGACCTCATGTATAAGCTGAGGGCAAATTTTGGTGCCAGAATCATGGCTTTTGGACAAGTCGAGGATAAAACTTAGGGACATGTAGCAAAGGATGTAAAGGATGAAGTTTACTGTCTTCATACATAAATGTCTCATTCAGATCCTTCAAATCCTGATTCCTCTCAGCACTCCCTTGAGGGGAAGCACCAAAGAGGTGCTACCACTGCCATTTTCCCACCCAAACATTCAAAAAGGCCAGAGGTGGTGTCATTATGAAAAGAGTAGAGGGGTTTTGTGCTTCTTTGGGGTGCTCCTGGGGTGGACTAAGCTCTTCTCTTTTGCCACTCTACTCAGAGTACTTACATTGACCCGTGGATAAGTCAACCCAGTTTTTTGGGGTCAATTTTTTAACTAAAATTTCTAGACTTACACATGAGTATATACAGTATACACAAATATTTGTGGTAGCTGACTAACTACTTGTGGTAGTTAACTAACTTGTGGTAGTTAACTAACTTGTTAACTGTGTGATACCTCAGAATTAGATTCCAAGTAGATAGTGAGACGAATTGTCATAGGGGTGTATAAGGCATTCTTTACAAAAATGTGTATTATAGCTAAAAGCCCAAACAACAAAACTTTGGCATGGTATGTCATTACTTGCAAGGAATCGTTACCTCACTTCAATAAATTGAGCTTCTCAACAGTTGTAAACATCAGGTTTATTCTGTTCTGGGAAGTCTTCCTAGTCCTAACATAGTCTAAATCATGACTGTTAACAATGTATCAATAAATATTTAATGTGATAATATTGTTTTTTAAATGGTTTTTGTTTTAAATGTGCCAACATTTTATATAGGCATGGGGGAATGGCAGTCTTAGTTATACTTCATTGTAATTTTTTCCTAATTTAAAGAGTAATCTTGTTAAAGATCAAGTCCTTAGTCATTAGCTCATTAATTCATAATTCTTTCTCCTTCAAGAAGGGGACAGTTTTGTGCGATGGCACAAATGTGTTAAATGATATGATCTTCAGACTGTTTTTTGCTTGAGGCACTTGTGGCATCTCCTTTCACAAAGCTCCTTATTCTTAAAACATTGTGAAGTCAAATGCTACTATAATGAATTTTTCTAGTCTTGGTGCTCTTTTTTCTGTTGCATAGCAAAAGAGTGCATTTATTTCTGGTAAAATTAGTTCTCTTGTAGAAGATACTACAGCAGTTCTGAAAAATTGGTGTGTGTGTGTGTGTGTGTGTGTGTATGTGTTGAATGTGTTGTAGCATAAATACTAGTTGCCTTCCAGCTTACTGGTCTTCACCTGGAATACAACTGCATTCAGACAGAGGGTGTACAGCATGGCTCTAGTGGTTTCCAGTGTACAGTGGGTCCTCCACATTTGCTAGGGTTAGAGGCACAGGACCCCCATGAAAGTGGAAAAAATGGGGAGGAAAGCGTAGTGCAGGGGTAGGCAACCTAAGGCCTGGGGGCCGGATGCAGCCCCCCAAGGCCTTTGGACCGCCCCCAGGCTGGTTCTGCCGCTGCCTCCCGCCGCCGCCTGCCCGCCATGATGATATTGATTATTATTATTATTATTACTTGTTCTTGGGGTTTTCTTGGTAAAATCTCCACGGGGGGTTTGCCATGGCTTTTCTGGGGCTGAGAGTGTGCATGCATATATATATATATATTTTAAAAATTATTTTTACTATTTATTTATTTATTTATTTATTTATTTATTTTGGGTGCTTCGGCCCCCCGAGGGACAGCAACTTGGCCCCTGGCTCAAAAAGGTTGCCTACCCCTGGCCTAGTGTTTTGTTTTTTTAATTGAGAGATCATCTCTCTATGAATCTCTAGGTCCACCAGAGCAACTCTGTGGTCAACATCTCCTGGAAGTTGACCACAGAATTGCATTGGAGGACCTACAAATGCTTAGAGAAATGTTCTCTCTAGGAATCTTTAGATCCCCCAGCATGAGTTTTGGCAGAGGTTGATCACAGAGTTCCTCTGGGAGACTTAGAGTTTTCTAGAGAGAACATGTTAGTCAAATCAGTGAATAATCAAATCCACAAAAGTCAAAGCAAATATGGAAGTGAATTGAAGTGAATTGAAGGTGGAAATGAACTGCATTCTCTTCAAATTGATCTAATACTGAAGCGAGATACCCTCCAAGACTTGAAAAGATTACATATGATATAAATGCTTTGAAGACCTGATTAGAGGGAAACCCAACAAGGAGAAGCCATATGCAAAAGAAAGAGATGGAAGAAATTTGCTATGTAGCAAAACTTTGAAGAAAGATTTAACTATTAAAGTGGCAGCAAACTGATCACAAATCAACAGCTACAGCACCATCTGGTCAATTTTTAATAGATATCTTTTTTTTTTGGTAACTTAAAGATAACACACTAACCTTATTCATGCTTTGCCATTGCAAATTATGGTCATTTAAATCTTCAAGAACAAGTCTATATTGTTGAGTCTCAGAAATTTATTAACTTCCATGAAAGGGAAATATCATTTAAACAAAGCAAAGCTAGACACAGGGTATGTTAAGAAACATTGCCCACTGTGCAGTGTTCCTTATTTGGAGCAAAGGTTTTGGATTTAGTTTGTCTCATTTGCAAGGCTCTCTTCACGAAACTGATGTTTGGATATATTCTTGTCTGGGTTCCAACCTGCTTTTGGAAATGAATTTGCAGTGATGGCTAATGTGAATGAAGTCTGCCTGGAAGTGGTGACATAACTGTCTTGCTGAGTCTATCCCATGACCAGCAGGGTGCCACAAGGTTACACCATCTGTATGTAGTTGTTTTGAAATGAGGGCATCAATATTTTGACAACTCATTGATTTAGCTCTTGTTTCCATCAGCCAATCTTTGATGCAGTGGAAATGATAAATTAGTGTCTGTCATCAGTTGGAGCGGTTAGAGTGAACACTTGAGAACAAGAAAGGAGTATTGTTGGTCATCAGTTCTGGGAGATTTGTTGTAACTTTCCTTGAAAAATCAGGTTGTGGATACTGCTAAGGGAGACACTCCTTGAACACTCAGGATTGTTTACCAAGAGTGTCTGTTCAGCTGTGCCGGATCATCGAGCTGCAGCCCATCTCAGAGAATAGGGACTGAGTATTGGTTGTCCAAGATTTAGTTGTGCCCAGACTTCAATACTGCAGTGTTTTGTGTGTGAAGCTTTCTTTTTGAAACATTTCAGAAGTTTCCATTGATCCCAAATTTAGCACCCACACTTCTGTTGGGTGCCTGATGTTTGGGGCATGCAACTCCAACCCAGTTCTAACTGCAAGAAATGAATGGATAAATGATTAAGCATTCATTTCTTGGCCCAGCCTATAACAATCTTAAGTCAACCTTTCTCAACCTTTTTATTCTAGAACTCTTGAAATAATTTTTAGGTCTCAGGGAATCCCTGTATAAAAAATACTATTATCTACAGCTCAAAAATATGGTTATTCTTTTACATTCAAAATCTCTCATGGAACCCGGTTGAGAAACCCTACTCTAAGTTAAAGATACAATTGCTCATCTTCTTCCCTGTGTGTTACATTCTGATTTAGGAGTATTGCTTGCTATGCCATCATCTTGGCCGTTGGGCAATTGAGCATAAGTGCAGGATCATTTTAGTGGTCCCGTAACTTGAGAATACTTTGCTGTCTGAGATGGTAGACTCCGTATTGGTTAGCTTTAAGAGTAATAATGATAAGGACATTTACACAATGTGTCCATTTAAGTGAGGATGCCTATTTCCTCACTGGAGATTTTTTGATGCAGGGCAACACATCTAAGGTCCAAAACAAACTGGAGAAATAATCCAGTTTGAGACTGCTTTAATTGCCCTTGCTCAATGCTAGAGAAATCTTGGAACTGTAGTTTTGTGAGACATTTTGCCTTCTCTGTCAGAGAGCTATGGTGCCACAATAAACTACAGTTCCCAGGATTCATTAGCACTGAGCCAGGGCAGCTAAAGCAATCTCAGACTGGATCATTTCTGCAGTATGTTTTGGACCTTAGAGATTCTTACTCTCTGGATTTCTGTCATTCAGTATGGGTTCATTGGTAGACCTCCTACATGTTTTCCTTCAACTCTATGATTCTATTAGGGCAACTGGTGATTTTACCAGCCCTTCCTGCTGAAGGTGTTAACACATTGAATAGGAGCTCCCCATCCTATGCCAGGGGAGCAGCTGCAAGAGAGGTGGTGGCAAAATTAAGAGTTGATTCACTGCCCCTGGATTCTGTGATGATGATTTTATTTCCTTATATTTTTATTTGCTTTTCAAAAGAGAGATGGAAAAAAGGGGGGAGAGTCAATGGAGT